TCTTCTTCTTCTTCCTCTTCTTCTTCTTCTTCTTCTTCTTCTTCTTCTTCTTCTTCTTCTTCTTCTTCTTCTTCTTCTTCTTCTTCTTCTTCTTCTTCTTCTTCTTCTTCTTCTTCTTCTTCTTCTTCTTCTTCTTCTTCTTCTTCTTCTTCTTCTTCTTCTTCTTCTTCTTCTTCTTCTTCTTCTTCTTCTTCTTCTTCTTCTTCTTCTTCTTCTTCTTCTTCTTCTTCTTCTTCTTCTTCTTCTTCTTCTTCTTCTTCTTCTTCTTCTTCTTCTTCTTCTTCTTCTTCTTCTTCTTCTTCTTCTTCTTCTTCTTCTTCTTCTTCTTCTTCTTCTTCTTCTTCTTCTTCCTCTTCTTCTTCCTCTTCTTCTTCTTCCTCTTCCTCTTCTTCTTCTTCCTCTTCTTCTTCTTCCTCTTCTTCTTCTTCCTCTTCTTCTTCTTCCTCTTCTTCTTCTTCTTCTTCTTCTTCTTCTTCCTCTTCTTCTTCTTCTTCTTCTTCTTCCTCTTCTTCTTCTTCCTCTTCTTCTTCCTCTTCCTCGACTACTTCAACATCAACTTGTGAATGTTGCAATCCAAAAACACCTTCAACTTCAATAGCTTCATTTACATGGGACATTTCATCCATTTCGTAAGGAACATCATCTTCCATGTCTTGAGATTCTATGCGACCTCTAGGCTTCGTTTTTATAGCAACATACCACCCTTGTTTGTCCTTTCTTGATCTCGGATATGGGATATAATATACTTGTCTAACATTATGTGCCAAGATAAAAGGATCAAATGGTAAATACCTTCTATCCATGCGAATGTCTACAGTTCCATATTTAGAATCCACTAATGTACCTCTACGTGATGGATCAAACCATTCACAATAAAATACCACCACTTTCTTCGGGGAGGTTGAAGTATTATATTGCAGCTCATATATGTGTTGAATGATGCCATAAAAATCATCTTCACCTCCTTCTGTAAGACCTTTTACATGTACACCACTATTGATTGTTTTTTTCCCCGAGTCCAAGCATGAGTGTGGAATTTGTATCCATTGACAAAGTATGTGTGCCATTTATTGACACATGTGAAAGGACCAATCGACAACTCCCTTAAGTGCATGTTTCTTACACTTAAAGGCTCACTATGAACCTACAAATGTAAAGAAGGTATAGTCATATGTTGTTAAGCATATTTTAATAAACTAAGTTATTAATGTAACCATACATACTTGATGCTTAAACCATTGAGGAAAATGTCTATGTATGTGATTGGACATGTTTGAGTCATTGGGTTGACCAGATTGCAAGAAGGAACTATGAAAATATAGGAGAAGGATGGAGAACAATTTAATTAAAAAAGAAAATGATATAATAATGAAATATAGTGTTTGAAATACTCACTCAAGGTATGACTTAATTTCGGTGCAGTTGATCAAGACATGAACATGAGCCGAGTTCCACTCTTTTTGAGTTAACCAATGAATTGATGTCTTTCCTGAGTGACGACTAACCAAGTTAAAGATAGATAACATTGATGGATCCCTTTCAATTTCGGCTTGTATTTCATTTCTCTTATTCTATGGTGATAGAATGAAGTTCTTGAAATAATGGGAACAAAAGTGAGTTGTCTCTTGATGCAAGTATGAGGCACAAATTGATCCTTCAACACGAGCTTTATTTTTCTTGATCGTTTAGAATCACCCATGAATCTATAAAATGAATGAAATGAGGATGATATTAGCTCAATATTTAGTAAATCAAATTTTGTGCATAATCAATGATAGTCTTCTTACCTTTCAAATGGATACATCCATCTATATTGAACTGGTCCACCAAGTTTGGCTTCATACACAAGATGAATAGGTAAGTGTTCCATTGAATCAAAGAATGCAGGGGGAAATATTCTCTCCAACTTACAAAGAATTATTGGAATATTTTCTTCCATTTTAGCCAAGTCATGATGCCTCAATGTTGTAGAACACAAATCTTTAAAAAATGGCTCACTTCGAGTAAGAGGGTTCCAAGCATGCACTTGGTAATGAACTAAATGCAATAGGGAGTAAACACTCCATAAAAACATGACAATCATGGCTCTTCATCCCATGCATCCTTCCCTTGTCTACATCGGCACATCTTGCTAAGTTGGATGAATAACCATCGGGCATTCTAAGTTCCTTGATCCAATGACAAACTAACTTTGCTTCCTCTGCAGTTAAAGTATAATTTGCTTTTGGCTTTACCATCTTCCCATTAGCACTGCAACTTCAACTCTAAATCTGGTCTACAACAATACAAAGCTAGGTCCTTCCTTGCCTTATCATTATCTTTTGTCTTACCTTTGACATTCATGACAGGTGTTGAATATATTATCAAAGAAATTTTTCTCTATGTGCATAACATCAAGATTGTGCCTCAATAAATTATTCTTCCAATACGGCAAATCCCAAAAGATACTTCTTTTTGTCCAATTATGCCATTCCCCATAGCCTGGTAACTTGTTCATATGAGGGTAATCTATGACTTTGGGTACATCCATAATTATACTCCAAACTTGCTTGGATGTCAATGTACATGGTGGGTCATTAGTTTCAATTTTTCCCTTTTTAAAAGCTTTTTTATTCCTTCTAAATACATGATTTTTGGGCAAGAACCTACGGTGTGAATCAAACCAACTATTTTTCCTCCCATTCTGCAATGTAAAGGCCTTTGTATCCCCCATGCAATGCGGGCGAGGCTAGTTTACCTTGAGTCCTCCAACCTGACAACATACCATATGCGGGAAAATCATTAATAGTCCACATCAAACTAGCCCTCATTACAAAATTTTGTTTCCTTGAAATATCATATGTTTCAACTCCTCTCCACAATTGCATCGAGATCATCAATCAAAGGTTGTAAATACACATCAATACATGACTTTGGATTACGTGGACCAGGAATGAGGCATGTCAAAAACATATAAGGTTTGGACATACATATTTCAGGAGGAAGATTATATGGGGTCATAATTACTGGCCAACAAGAATAGGGTGTGGCGAGATGCTTCAATATATGGATTAAATCCATCAGAACATAGACCTAGTCTTATATTGCGTGGTTCGACGGCAAAATCTGGATAAACTTGATCAAAATGCTTCCAAGCTTTACCATCGGATGGATGACACAACACACCTTCCGGTCTTTTATTATCATAGTGCCATGTCATTTGTCCAGTCGTTTTCATGGATGCATACAACCTCTTTAACCTCGGAATTATAGGTAAATAGAACATGCTCTTAATCGGAATTGGTTTATTTTTACGAGTTTCAACTTTTGGGGCATGATACCTTGGCTTGTGACAAAATTTGCATTGCAGCAAAGATCCATCATTTTTCCAGTAATCATTGTCATAAAAAAGCATACAACCATTAACACAACAATCGATCCTTTTAGCCTCTAATCCCAACTTTGAAACTAACCTCTTCGCATCGTAATAGTTTTTTGGTAAACTATTTTTGTTGGGTGTTACATCCAAAAGCATTTTTATAATGAAATTTAAAGCGTGATCAGGAACATGCCAATTAGATTTGCAAGCTAACAATCTTACACATATGGACGAGTTTGGAGTCTAAAGCACCTTCAAACAAAGGTTTATTCAGCTTCCAACAACAAATCATAAAATCTTTGAGCTTCTTCATTTGGAGGCTCTTCCATGATATTTGACTCTGGTGGTTGAAATGTTTCATGTTGCCTAAGTGCGTCATACACCATGTCCTGCATTGCCATCAATGCCTCATCTTCGAAAAATGTAACCCACTACTTGAAGCATGTGTCCAATTTTTGTTAGCATGAGGCATTTCCTCACCGTGATCAACCCAAACATAATAATCGAGGCATGAAACCATTTTTATAAAGGTGAAGTTTAACCATTTCCATTGGCAAGATCTTTGTACATTGACATTTATTGCATGGACATCTCGTTTGGCCTTCATTTTGATAACAAACTTGTTGAGAAACTTTCATGACAAACTCTTCAACGCCATCAACAAAACTTTGTTTTAAACCACCTCTATTACTATGGCTTCGATCATACATCCAATAGCGATTTGCATAAAATTGATCCATGTTCTACAAAATATGAACTTTAATGTTACACTAATTAAAGTACAAAATTAGAAAGGATTTTGACAAGTGTTTGGTAATGACCAATATAATAACTTGAAGGCTATTCCATGTAGGACTCATGTAAACCTCTTAGCCAATAAGGTTAGAATAACTAAATAACTAATCTCATCTTGATAATATATGAAGATACAAAACTAACAATATTCATCATAAATTGATATTCATCAATTATAATACAAAATATTCATCAATTTTAAATGATGATTGGTAATATGTATCCTGAATCAATGCAAACAAATTGAACAAAATAATCAAACAACTCAATCCTTCGACTAACCATGTTACATGTTACATTTATTGCCCCCAATCCTCACTGAATACAAGGCATCCATAGCCGACTAATCAATCATTATTTAAAATTCAATATAGAAAAGTCAAAGGTAATTACTTACCTACTAACAAAGATCTTCAAATTGGATGAGGAGTCACTTCCTTTCCTTTATCCTTCTATCTTTTATGAAGCTTCTCCCTATGAAATTACACGACACGTTCAAACGCAAACCATACTAATAGCCTCATGGTAATCAACCACACAATCCAAACAACTCGAATAATAACATTATTTAAATATTATATTTATTATTATATTATATAATGAATTGTCGGTTGTATAGTAAATAATCCATTCTCAATGCATTTTCTTTTTAATTTTATATGACATTAAAAAAATTAAGATCAATCTGCTAACAAGTGTTATCTGATGTCATTAAAGTGTGTACATCAATGTAACTAAAATACACTCGTTACCCTTTCTACAATTAAAATACTAATTTTCTCTCCTAATGAGAATAAACCGACAAAACACAAATTTGATAATGTGAGAGTTATGATTGCTTTCTCACTCTTGAATTGCTTCCAACTCCAAAGGTCTTCTTCCTGAAATAAGTCCCCTGACAGTAGTGGAAGTTGTTGAGTGAAATGGGTTAGGAGGCACAGTTAATTGGTTTTCCTCTTTAGTTTCTAGCATTTGTATGACAGATTTTATGGATGGACGGTTCACTGGCTGCCACTGAATGCACCAAAGTCCAACAATGGCTAGCTTCTTCGCAATTTTAGCGTCACCTTCATCCTCAACATTGATGTGTATGTCTCCATCAACCAGGTTATGGATCCAATCTGGGTACAGAACATGGAAATTTTGTGTGGATGACATGTCTACATTCTTCCTTCCTCCAACCATTTCTAACAGCAACATTCCGTAACTGTAAATATCAGACTTATAGGACACATTTCCGAAGTTCCTGGAGAAAACTTCAGGTGCAATGTATCCCAAGGTTCCTCTAGCAGCTGTCATGGACACCAAACTACGATTCTTGGAACACAATTTGGCTAAGCCAAAATCAGAAATCTTTGGAGTGATTTGGTTCATTTCAATGTAGTATTCCCATTTTTAGAGTGCAGTACAGCCATGTCAGAAATTAATTAACAAGAACAATTTTTTATCCTGTTGCTCAAGCTAACTTCTAATATACTTTTTGAAGTAACAATAACCCAATAAATTGTGCAAAGCAGTTTTTTATATGCTGTTTGCTCTTCAAACAGCTGAAAGGTTGGCTGCTCATTCCTCCTCACCCATACGCTCTAAATTATGTGTCGCAATAAGAAAAAAAAAATCACTCATAATTGGATTGAACTGATAAATTGATCTACATATATCTCATACCAATTGCGCAAAATGACTTTTTTATTCCACTGCTTAACATTATCCTGTTCCCAGTTTAGCATTATTGAAGAAAAAGTTAGGTGATTGTTCTGTCATAAGATAATGAACATTGTGTTGTATATTATGTATGATGTGTATATCTTCCATTTGTTATGTATGATTGTTCTGTCATAAGTTAGGTGATTGTATACAACGTAGCCAGTTCCACAGCAACTACAAAAATGTCACTTAACAATCAGATAGTACTTGAAGGTACAGTATATTTCTCCCTCTCTAAAATAGGTTCATGTAAACAGAAAGTAATTGAACTAGTTTTTATAACTGTTGAACACACAACAGTATGATAACAAGAGCTAAGTTAAAGCATTCCATGGTACAGAACAATTAAACAGAAAAGTAAAAACCAATGCACCCCAACTGAGAAGACACATTTACAAATTAGGTCTTCAGCAGAGAGGATTTTCTAGTGAGAAGCACACAAGATTCACGCAAAAAATATATAACAAAATTCAAATTGTCCCGGTAAAATTTCATTGTACATGCTTAATGTTCTAACAACTAACATGGGGATTAACTGTGTTCACATATATGATGTAATATTTTTACAAACAGAATCTACTTACTCATCAATAATTAAGTCAGAATGACACAGAACTAAATGCATGGGTCAATTAATCTAAGCATAACAGGAATATGGAGGAGAGGGGCCATGGAGGCATGTTAAGTAGCATGATTTGTTCACAAGCACACATGGAAACAATTACATTCATCAGTTAAACAACCATATCCATAAAAAATATTTTATCAACTTACAGATACGCTAAAGAAATTCAAAATATCCAACAAACTGACAAAGTTGAGTTTAGTTAAATTTGACTCCAATCACCCACCAGAGTTGAAGGCATATCAGGGTATTCATGAGTATCCACTTCCCTTCCCTTTATTTTCTAACTTATGACCTAATCTTCCATTCTCAACCACTGAGAATATTCAACTGCGAACGAAACTGGTGGAGAAGTTTGGTTTCCATTCTTTTTGAAAATATAAACAAGCAATATGCATTTACCCAGCAACGTTTTACTATGAAAAGTTCCATCAAAATGTTCATCTTGTCCGAACCTAGGATTGATCTTCCAATCATTTTAACTTGGCCTTTTCACATTAACTTAATCATTAGCTAACTTACTACGGTGTGCAGTTATAAGAATTTTTCAACAGCAGTTTGAAGCAGATGGTTTGATGAATTAGGAAAACAGAATATCTTCATCATAACAAATTCATACTTTTTCAACATTGATGATTCTTAATCAGCAACATACTAATAGAACATTATGAAAATATTATCTTCATCATAACAAATTCATACTGAATCAGCTTACATAATGTAAGTTTTACTGCTAAAACTAATCCTAAATGGATTTTATATGGCCATAATGTAAGTTTTTTGGGGTCATGATTATGAAGCATTTGTAAGGTGGAAACACATTCTTAACTCACCCACCAAGAAACTAAGCCACAGAGACATGAACCAAGCCAATAGGACTTGGATAACACCAGTCTCAACCTCATCAAGTGAAAACCACAGATTCAAGCCAAACTAAACAGAAATAACGGTACAAAAAACCTTAATAAACCAAGATCTTATTCAACTAACAGAGCCACCAATTCAATGATTCATATGCAAATAAACCAGACCCGGGCTTAATAGTTAACTAAGCAGAACAATTCAGACTCCAAAAAATGTGAAAGAAATAGGATTAAAGCATAATACCAAGCTTAACTCGCTGCCTCTATATCTCACATCTAGCTCACAGCGAGCTCAGTGGCACAATGGGGGTGGGCTGGAGCGAGGAGAGGCAGTGACCGCAGCCGGCGTCGAGGTGACTCAAGTTCCGAGGCTGCGGGGATGCTGCGCGACGGGGGTGTGGTGGCGTCCCGACTTGGATGTTGATTTGCGGTCGGGTTCGCGGTGGCCGGCTATGGGCAGTGGTGCGCGGTGGTTTGGGGCGAAGGGAGAGATTCAACACAGGAGGGAAGTGGAGCAGAGTGGAGACGTTAGTGGTGAGGAGTGGGGGTTGGGACGCTCGATGGTGGTGGTTGTTGTGGATGACGAGGGGCTTTGGTGGAGGTTGGATTAGGGTGAGGCCGTGACTGCGACTTGGCCTTGCAGTGGCTCGACGAAGGGGACGACGACCTCACAGTGGCGGTGCATCGTGAAGATGGTGGTGGAGGCCGCGAAGACGGGGTTTCTGCGAAAAGGGGGGTCCGCGGTCGTGAGATGTGGTGGTTCTGATGAGGGTGATTGGGCGAGAATCTGGAGGCTGAAAGCTAAGATGTGGTGCGACTGCGGGGTGGTTCTGCGTTGGTGAGAAGCTTTGGTGAGTGAAGGTGGAATTAGGGCACGGGTATGGTTGTGGTGGTGACGGGGAAGAAGCCTGGTGGTGACGGGTATATGGGTTCAAATGAGGATACCGTGTGGGGTGCTCGAGAGTGGGGAGGCTGCAGCTAGGGTTCTAGTGAAGGAGGTGGGTGGCGGGTTATAGAGGAGGTTAGTGAAATTGAGGGAGACGAAGGAAGGAGTTAGGGAGCTTAAGTGAGGCGCGGAGGAAGTGTAGCGAGGGTTTTTTCTTTTTTTTATTTATTTAACATCCGTAGGTAAATGAGTAGGTAAAGTAGTAAAAAAACATTACCTACCTCCTACATCCGTAGGTAATGCATAATCATCCCGTCCGTAGGTAAATTCCATAGGTAATAGATAATTTATATACGAACATACTTTTGTAGGTAAAATCCGTAGGTAATGTAAAATTTACCTACGGATTTTTACCCATAGGTAATATTCCGTAGGTAATAGGCTTTTTTCTTGTAGTGTGTAAAATAAAACATTTTGGTGTTCCTAAAGGTAAATACATTTGGGTTCCTATTGTTAAATAATTTATTTGTGTCTAACCCCAAGAACCCAAAAGTTATGGGGACCTAAGTTTACTATGTTCTTGTTTTGTAGGAAACTTCCAAATCTAAGAAGTCTATGTGGTATCTTGATAGTGGATGCTCAAAGCATATGACCGGTGATAAATCAAAATTTGTGAGTTTCAAAGCTAAAGACACAAGGATATGTAACTTATGGGGACAACAACAAAGGGAAAAATCTTGGAATTGGAAATATAGGTGGTGCAAACACATTGGAGATTAAGGATGTGCTTCTTGTTGATGGACTAAAGCATAATCTCCTTAGCATAAGTCAACTATGTGACAAAGGATTTAAGGTAATCTTTGAAAGTAAATTTTGCACCATACATTTGATAGATTCCGAAAATATAGAATTAAAAGGCATTAGGCATAATAACATATACTTGATTGATTTGGATTGTTTACATGATTCTAGCATAACATGTTTAGTTGCTAAGGAAGAGAACCCTTGGTTATGGCATAAGAGAGCGGCTCATATAAATATGCATCATTTGAACAAATTGATTAAATGTTTGTTATAGAAGAATTGAGGGGGAGCTCTTATGATTGTTATAGAAGAATTCTTTTTTATTATAATCAAAATAGGGGGAGAAATATTTAAAGCCTACTATGATTGATTTTAAATATTATATGGTATGTTTAATGTGTTTGTTAGTATGACAGATAAAACAGGTTATTACAAGGCTTTAAAAGAAAATTTTGATCATCATCAAAAAGGGGGAGATTGTTGAACATTCAAGGACTTGATGTTGAACTTACATGGACATGAAGCTTGTTGATTTTGATGATGATTCAAGAACACAAGACTTAGAGAGTTGATGACTTGTTTTATAGTGTAATAACTCTGTTTTGATTAGTTTGAGTCTATAATATTAGAGCTTAAGATAGCCGGTACATAGTCTGCACTTTAGAAGCTTCAAAAACTCAAATTTATCTTTTTGCCTTGGCTTTAATCGATTAAATGGTCAAATAATCGATTATTACAGTGAGTAAAACCATTTTCTGTATCTGCTCAGTGTAATAATCGATTAACACACCTGTTAATCGATTAACAGGCCTGTTAATCGATTAACAGGGCTTTTAATCGATTAAAACAGTGAGTTTTGGGGTTCTGTTGATTTTGGCTCTGTAATAATCGATTAACACTTCATTTAATCGATTATTTCAGTCAGATTTTGATTTTCAACTTCAAATCAACCCTATTTTCGAAAACCCTAATCCCAAGACTCCTAGTTCCGAAATTCCCAATTCCCAAACCCTAATTTCTCTACTTAAGCTTCTCTATGGCACTCAGAAAAATAAGAACAACCTTTTTCAAACAAAAGTTAAGTGCTGTGAGTGCCAGAGAACTGTTTGTTGGAGGAAAAAGGGGCTTTTGGAACCTGGTGTGGGCTAGAAGCGATAAGAATCACTAAGTGGAGTTCTTAGTGGATTGTGTGTTGTGCCGTCTCTGGGGAAAGTTGTTCTTCATCTCTTGTGGATTTCAAGAGAGGTGTTTTCTTTACTTTGTATTTTCAATTGTTATCTGTTTGTAACAACTTTGATTATAGTGACAGCGTTAATCCTCTGTTTGAGTGATTAGCAACTGGACATAGGGTCTTTTGATCCAAACTAGTATACATCTCCTGTGTAAGATTCTATCTCTATCTTATTTACGTTTACATAGCTTTTTAATCGGTAAAATTTGGGGATAATTTTTAAAACCTAATTTTTGTTAAGAAACCAATTCACCCTCC